CATCCGAAGAAGTGGGCTGTGGTCTACGGGAGCTTATGCTCTAATAAATTTGGTAGGCTCTAAAGTGCCACAAGTACTCCTGTTCTTTTTATGGCTATGGACTAGCCGTAGAAACATGGACATCTATGAGCAGATTGCTGAGGGGAAGCAGGAAAAGAGATATGATAGGAATTGACAGCAGGACTGTGTGAAAGCAAAGGAACTGTGTCAGGCATATCATAAGACCAGGGAGGCCAATAGTCAATCCTGTGCTTAGCTGCCACTCTTACAAGGAGCTGCATGCCATACTTGGCGGAACATGCAACTGGGAGGTCCAGCTCTGCCATGAGCCAGGACATGTTTGAGACTCCATCGCAGTCCAGTTTATCCTGGCAGTCGAGCATGGGTGAGTCTGATGGGAAGGAACCTTGGGTAAGTGTATACGTTTTTTCTATTACAGTGATGGCACCTCCCAATTTAGCAGGACACAGCTATTGACTTTTCATTAATTTACTTGTACTAGAAGAAATAGCGGTACAACAAAGAAAGGTAGCGTTATCTGCTTTTCATTCCCCTGTAGAGTTAGGTAAGGGGGGCCACAACATATACTACAGAACGTCTGGTGGTAGCGAAAGTACCCTGTTATTTATGGTACACTATGCCACAACTCATAGGATTAGTGACAAATACAGTGTAATAATCATATAGGTACAGCAAGCACCACAAAATTAATAGGTGCATTGACAATGTTATATTAATAGATGTGTACCAAGCACCACACAATTCCTAACAGGTCTTCAGACTGCAGGGCCAGCTAGAGCAAAATCCACAGTAATGTGTTATGGTGTATTGCCAATAAAGTCCTCTTTCAAAGCATCCCTGAGCGGTTTTGCTCTGTGCCTTGAGAGTAAATAATGCCAGTGCCCCTCCAATCTACCAAAAGCACATTAAACTGTCGTTTTTCACCTGCTGAGCTGGTAGTTGAGTCTTTCCTTGTTGCTGTTTAGGTGGCCAGCATATGGCTTAATGAACAAGGGGTATGCTGGCTCCCGAAGGATCACTATTAGCATTTCAACATCGCCAATGGTAATTTGCTGGTCAGGAAAGAAAGTCTGGGCTTGTAACTTTCTGAAAAGTCCTGTGTTCTTAAAGATGCGAGTGTCATGCACTTGCCTGACAGGACAACATTGATGTCAGTAAGGTGTCCCTAGTGATGCACCAGCGCTTGCATAATCACAAAAAATAGGCCTTTCTGTTGTACTCTGTGGCAATGTGGTCTGGTGCCAAAATAGGAATATGTGTGCTGTCTATTGCTCCACTGCAGGTCAGGAACTCCACTGCTGCAAATCCATCCACTATGTTCTGCATATTGCTGAGAGTCTCAGTTCTGCATAGCAGATGATTAATGGCCCTGCACACTTGTATGACAACCACTCCCACAGTGGATTTTTCAACTCCAACATGATTTCCCACTGACTAGTATCAATCCAGTGTTGCAAGTTTCCATAACATGATAGCCCCTTGCTTTTCCACTGTCAGCGCAGCTCTCATTCTGGTGTCCCTACACTGGAGGGCTGGGGCAAGCTTGGCACACTGATCCCTGAATGTGGCCTTACGTGTCCAAAAGTTCAGCTCATCATCCCAAGCTGCATTAGGATGGAATCCCACCAGCCAGTGCACCTTTCTCGGGCCCAGAAGCAGTGTTCCACTGCTTGCAGCTGCTCTATGAACACCACCAACCATCTTGAATGGTTTTATGTCCTACAGCAATATGCCCACCAGGAAATTGTGATGTTTCTCCTGGCTCCTCTTGTGGCTCTGCAGATATTGGAGGATCATGCATCCTGTGCATGCAATGCTTATGACAATACCGCAGGCTCCGTAGTTCTGTCAGAGATAGCAGATGGTGACAAGTTCCATGTGGGTTTGTGAGATTTTCATAATAGGCACAACAGTTCTGGGATAGAGGTGGAGAAAGTAGCATAATGGGAACTGCACCCTGCAGTCCCAGTCACCCTGCATGACTTGTTTGTGCCCCACTGTGCATTGTACCGTCTTTTGGGAAGTGTTGGCACTGGATGGGGGCGAGTTGTACACTGGCATACTTACCCATAGTGCACTGCATTGTGCATCGGCACTAACACTCCTTGTGAGTACACACACTGCCAACACAAGGAGTCAGGTATGCACATTCACAAGCAATATAATAACTGTGGCGGCTTTATGCCAATGTGACCTGTGCCGGCAAGTTTTGTAGTGTAGACATGCCCTAAGTGATGTGATATGCTCCTGCAATGACAGTTACTGCAGATACTGAGGGAGTGTAAAATTTATAACCAGTAGAGGGCAAAATAAGCTATTGAAGAGAGTAATTTTCTTTAAAAGCTTTGTGATTAAAATACAATGAAAACAATCAAAATTGTATTGAATACAAGTGAAAGTTCTGTTGCAAAGGCAGTCCCTTTTAACAATCTTAAGTCCTGCTGACACCTTTTTTTTTCCTTTTAAAAATATAGTTCTATTCTGAAATGTAACTCTGGAAAGATGGCTTCTCTTGTTTCTTTGTATGCTTCTCAGTTGCTCAACATCAAATGTGCTCAGTTTACCAAGCAAAAAGATGTTTTTCTAACTGTCAGCCTTGCAAGACATGGAAAGTCAAGCTGGATCCTTTTCTGGCTCATGCATCATGACCAGTAAATAGAACCAACAAAAGTGTATTGTAGGTTTAGTTAAGGGTGAACTTAGCCCCCCAAAACTGGAGGGTGGAGGGGGGGAGAAATTGTCCTTTATTTCTCCTGTTTAACCTCAAAGGTTAAAATAAAAAATCCTGCTCTTTGGAATATTTAAGGGATATTCCTTTCAGTTGAGGGCTGTTAAAGCTGTAGTTCAAGATTCAGCCTATTACTATTCCATTCTGTTTGTCCAGTTCTCCAGGGGGCTGTTTAGAAAAAACAGGGAATTCAATCATTGATATTCTTGGTATTTTTAAAGTTAAAAAAGCAGAACAAATGTTTTTGGGAAAAAAATTGATCCTGTATTTCTAAATAAAGAAATATTAAAGGACAATTTTTTCTTTGTGGTTTTTCTTTTAGGTTCAATACCTTGATTTAAAAATAATGCAACTGCAGTTTATGCTCCAGTCCTGCAGTCAGATCTGTTGTCTCAGACCCCCGCAGCCATGTGGAGCCTCATAGAAATCAGTGGGGCTTTGCCCAGACCCAGTGGTCTGAGCTAGTGGATCTGATTGCAGCATTGGAACCTAAGGGTAGGTCTACACTTACCTCCGGGTCCGGCGGTAAGCAATCGATCTTCTGGGATCGATCCCGGAAGTGCTCGCCGTCGACGCCGGTACTCCAGCTCGGCGAGAGGAGTACACGGCATCGACGGGGGAGCTTGCCTGCCGCGTCTGGACCCACGGTAAGTTCGAACTAAGGTACTTCGAATTCAGCTACGTTATTAACGGAGCTGAATTTGCGTACCTTAGTTCGAAGTGGGGGGTTAGTGTGGACCAGGCCTAAGGCTATGTCTACACTACAGATACTACAGCTACTGTGCTACAGCTGTTCTGTGGTGGTGCCATAGTATAGATACTTGATACAGTGAGGGAAATGTTTTTTTTCATTGCTGTAGTTACAGCTGGTAGTTAGGTCGATGGAAGAATTCTTCCAACTACCTAGTGGTGCCTACACCAAGGTGTAGATTGGCTCTGTCTCTCTCAGGGATGTGAATTTTTTGTACTGCTGAGTGACATAGCCAGGTCAACTTAAGTTTTTGGTGTAGACCTGCCCCAAGTTATTAATTCTTATGATGTGGAGACCAGAAGTCAGCCCCCCACCTCCCTCTCGTACATTGCTAACAGGAATAAAAGTATTCAAACAAGCAGAACACATGGGGAGCAGATATGTGGAATAAAAACATACCAGTTTACCTACAGTTTAAGCCTGCGAAAAGGCACAGGAATGGTAACAGGCATCTCACAATATTAGACACTTGGTTTTGTAATTACTTCTATATATGCTGAAGGATGGTGCTTGGTTTTTTATATAAAGAAAGTTGTACTCTTCATTGCAGTATATTCAAATGTGAAAGATTTAAGCTCATAAGTTTTGCCAGTTTCAGCCATAAAACTCAGTATTTGAAATTCACTTTGACATGGTAACTTCCCTACTCAATATTTTTTTTCCTTCTCCTTTCAGGCTAGGTCTTTCAGTAAAAATGTTCCTGTTAAAGCATTTCCTGCGTTTCTCTATACAGTAAGTGTGATAACAGTGCACTCTTTAAGTGGTGAAGTAATTTGTGACTAGTTCAAGTTTATGAATGGTAATGCACCAAGTTAATTGTTAATTAGTAATAGTTTTTTTTTTATTTCAATGGGAGTCCTGGGTGCTTAATACATCTGAAAATTATGCCACCTAATTAGGTGCCTAAATATAGATTCAGATGTCTAACTGACCAATAGAAAAATAAAACTATTTTTTAAGGACACAATTTCTCAAAAGGGTTTCCATGTATTCATAGACTGTCAAGAATGGTTTAGATGTTTATAAAATAATATTTCATATACTGCTGTTTGTATCTGATAGCTATTTGTGTACGTTATACATACTAAACCTTTTTTTCTTTTCTAGGTTGCTTTAGAGGATTATTTATATAAAATACAGAAAGTAGATTTCAACATATTCCATCCAAGCTTACATAAGAAGAGTACGTTACTACCATTGTATTTATATATTAGATCCTGGAAAAAAAAATATTAAAAATAGACTTAACATGTCAGACTGAGAACTGCTTTTTTTAAACTGATAATTTTATAGAAATGTTTTTGTTAAATAAGCAATTTTGTTATACATTCTGTGAACTATTCTTAATTGGAAGTAACATATGAGCGTGACCTGTAGCTATTAGCTTGCTGATCATAGGAAAAGCTTGTTCTTGTCAGTAAATTAGGCAGATGTGATTTGGCAGACACATAGATATGAACTGTTCTAAGGTTACTCTTGTAGTCATTTTTTTTTGTAATAACCACACTTATTATTTACTTAAAGCCAAATTTTACTTGGGATAATCCCCCATTAATATTATTTACTATTTATTCCTGGCAGCATATGCTATCTGCTAAATGCTTTCCTAACATAAAAGAAGACCTGATTCCTGCGCAAAAGAGCTTACAATCGATACTCTCGTATTCAGCTAAGCAACATTATTTAGTATTTTACAAATTACACATTACACAAAGCAACATTTCTTGTGTATGCCATTGGTTTGACGGCACCACCACTTAAATCCTTCTCGATGCCTTCATCTTGTCCCCAAGTCCTTGCTCTTGAGTCCCCACATGGTTAGAAACCTGCTTCTGAGATATGCTGGATGTTGACACTTCCAACTCTCGATGGAGTTCCTCCATATTTCAGTGGGAATTGTTAGGTGCTCAGCATCTCTAAAGATAACAACCTAAATGCTCAATATTTCTGATATTTGTTTTCTTTCATAAAATGGTGCCTCCTAATGTCCATTTTTGTTTGTTGCACAAATCCTGTAGTTTCCTTTGCTATCATCCTTTTCCTGTTGCATAGATATTTTGCATTTAGAGGTTTTTCTTTCTTTTTCTTTTTTTTAAATCAGGATTAATCTCCCCAGATGCTTGGTTGCATAACAAGATCCTGTGTGTTTTATTGCACAGTGCTACATAATGAATTTCTGAGAGCATGAGCCTTAGCTTTTTCTGTCACAGGATCTGTTACCATGGAGGAAACTTTGGGAATCCAATATTAAACATTTAAAACAATTCCATTGAATGACAGACTAAAGCTGTGCTTCTTACCTTGATTATATGTTCAATGATACAGGTATTTATCAGTCTTGCAGTTCACTATTTCTGAATGAGAAATTTCAATTTGAAGCAGTTTCTTTCAGGACTTTCTCTGGACTCTGTATTCTGTGTTGTTACGAATGCAGTAAGCAAAGTCAGCATGAAAGTAAAAAGGCATCTTGGGCATTATGCTGTCATGTATGAATACACTGGATTCTTCTTCCCAGGACTAGAAGTCAGGAAATCTTAAAGGTTCAGTATTGCGATCACCATCCCTTCAGTCAACTAGCTCATCATTGCTGTTTTTGAATCTGCCAAAAGGGTCTGCTTAAAAAAATAGTTACTGTTGCCACCACAGTGCTCCCTAATGCGCTACTAACAGGCCAGCAACACATTTTCTCTGATTTGTTCTGGTTTTTTTATAGAAAGCATTACAACTGGCTCATCCTGCAATTGGTCCACAACCGTCTTCCTACCATGCTGAGTCAGGGCAATAGAAGCAGCCCTATCTGTCTTTCATTAAGAGGAGTCTCTCTAGAAAGTTGAAATGCAGCAGGAAACTGATACAGTAACTTAGTGCTGAGTGGGAGAAGACAGGAAAAACCCTGCAGTATAGCCAACATATAAGTTGTTAACACTGAACTCGTGGCTTGGAAGCAGAGCAATGCCTTGCTTCAGTGCTGGATCTGAGGAGAGTTGACTGCCATAGCTACAGAAGAATCAATCAAAGGGCTAATCTGTGCTAATGTTAGTAACCATGTGATATAGTGAATGGCTAGCATACTGGTAGAGAAAGCTTGTCAGTGAATTAGTAAAAAGAGTATGGAATAAATCAGTTAGTGTTCTGTTTGGTCACATGAGAGTTTATGGTGACCTTAGAGAATAAAGCAACATGCTGAATCACAAATGGCAGTAGGCTTTTTTTAATGATACAATTTATTTTATCTCCTGTATACCCTTTAGAAGACCATTTTCCCCTTTCATGTGCATGCATAACTCTGGATTTAGGAATGATGTGTGTGCATGGAGTTGAGAATATGCCCTAAAATAATGTAAGTACCTCTCAACCTCAGTACAGATCTTAATTTGCCAGTGCCCCACCATATAATCCTATCGTTTATTGCTTGTAATCATGGCCATCAGAATTGGTGACTGAAAATAAATCTTTTTCCTTGTATAATGTAAATTAATCCCACATTCGTGGGATTAGAGTCTTTCTATTTTTAGTTATGTTCTGGATCTCTCACTTAAATATTTTCTCATATTTGTGCACTTCATGAGAGATATGAACAACCAGCTGATTTGGTGTCGGTACTTCAGTAGACTAATTGGGGGACATTTTCAGAGACACAAATAGTGATAACTGCCATTAGTGCCTTTGAAAAACTCTTCCATTGCCTGTTGACTAGTAAGCATAAAACGACTGATCTGGTTGCCCAAATTCTGTTTTGATTCTGGAAGTGAATGGTATAAAAGCAATAGGTTGCATGTCTTTGTTTCAATGGCTGCAAAAATTAACCTGCTGGTCATATAATTTATTCTTAGAGGGCCCAGTCATAGAATCATAGGACTGGAAGGGACCTCAATAGATCATATAGTCCAGTCCCCTGCACTCAAGGCAGGATAATATAATAATTAGATCATTCCTGACAGATGTGTGTCTAACCTGTTCTTAAAAACCTCTAATGATGAAGTTTCCACAACCTCCCTAGGCCATTTGTTCCAGTGTTTAACCACCGTGACAGGAAGTTTTTCCTAATGTCCAACCTAGACCACCCTGGCTGCAATTTAAGCCCATTGCTTCTTGTCCTATCCTCAAAGGTTAAGGAGAACAATTTTTCACCCTCTTCCTTGTAACAACCTTTTATGTACTTGAAAACTATTACATCTCTCCTCAGTCTTCTCTTCTCCAGCCTGAACAAACCCATTTTTGTTTAATCTTTCCTCATAGGTCATGTTTTTTAGATCTTTAATGATTTTTCTTGCTCTCTGCTGACCTTTCTCCAATTTCTCCACATATTTCCTGAAATGTGGCACCCAGAACTGGACACAATACTTCAGTTGAGGCCATATCAGCACGGATTAGAGTGGAAAAATTACTTCTCATGTCTTGCTTACAACATTCCTGCTAATACATCCCAGAACAATGTTTCTTTTTCTTTCTTTCTTTTTTTTTTTTGAGCAACAGTGTTACACTGACTCATATTTAGCTTGTGATCCCTTTCTGCAGTACTCCTTCCTAGGCAGTTATTTCCCATTTTGTATGTGTGTAACTGATTGTTCCTTCCTAAGTGGAGTATTTTGCATTTGTCCTTATTGAATATCATCCAATTTACTTCAGACCATTTATCCAGTTTGTCAAGATCATTTTGAATTTTAATCCTATCTTTCAAAGCACTTGCAACCCCTCCCAGGTTGGTATCATCCACTAAGCTCCAGGTTGGGACCCCAGGTTCAACAATTCCTAACCTGGGGTTACAAATGAGTGTAGACACTCAAGCCCTAGCTTAATAAACCATGGTCTTCTAACTTGAGTTCTCCTAACTCAAGGGTTTATATTGCAATGTAAACATACCCTGTGTACCCAGAAGTTGAATTCAACACAAAGTAGTGTGGAGACTGACCCTATCACTTCCATCCAAGGATCTTAACCATTGCTAATAAATTCTCACAACAGTTGTAGGAGAGAGTTGTTCGTATTCATTGTACAGATGTGACAACCAAACCATGAAGAGCTGAGTGATTTGCCTAAGGTTACATCAGAAGTCTGTACTGTAACAAAGACAAGAGGTTCTGACCTATACTCCTATATTTTAACCACAATACTATCTTTTACCGTCTAATGCTGTCTCAAGAAAACAATGTGAAAGGGTTATGGTCTACCTCAAAATGCTAAAAGCACTTTCAGTGTCCTCTAGAGTCAATTGCTTCAGCAAGGACTGCCTTCTAGGGGGAATTATGAGATCCATTCTGCTCCTACTCTTATTTTAGAAGGGGGGAGCAATTTTGTCCACTAGTTTTGCAAAACAACTGCAGTTTACAATAGTAATACCACTGTGCTGGGGACTGTTTAGAGCTAGATTGTGCCTTTTGCAGTAAGCCTTGCATAGAAGGTGGAATGAGGCTGTGCTAACCCAGGAATCCTGGGAGCCATTGTAACTCAGTCACAGCTCCCCATATGCTCCCCTCTTGCTTCAGCTAGGGAGTAATTTCCAGCAGCTCTTCAGAGGGTACAATTTACCACCACCTCATATTCCTAGCTGGCTCTGCTTTGCTGGCTGAGAGCTTGGATGGGGCAGAGCCAATGACAGAAGAAGGTGCAAGAAGCCCTGCAGGAGGTAACTTTGGCATAATCTGCCAATAGGGAAAATGTATTCCTAATGTTCATTGCTGTGAGGTTGACTTGTGTTGTATTCCTTCAAAATCATTTTAAACCTGAACTATAGTAACTCTGGATGTTATATCCATATAAGTGTTCAATCTGTTTTTACAGTGTCCCTACCATGAAGAGTTCCATTTTTCACTATTGCATATTTTCCAAGGATTTACCTCCCTTTTCTCACCTGATATGTGTCCATCTTTATTTCAGGGGCTGTGAACCTTTGCTGTAAACTACTGATTTATTTTTAGAAGATAAGTTCTGTGGCCCTTAAGTATCCTCAGATCCCATTGAAGTTAATAGTGTAGAATCCTAAGCAATTATGACTAATATCCACAGTTACATTAAACAGAATAATAAAAAAGGAGATTAACCTTCACGCTTTAGGGTATAAGATGGGTGACCCTACTTGCCTGGAGCTAGGAAGCAACTTCCCTTAAGGACAGATTATTAATGCCTGTGCCTTGATCTCTCACATCCTCCTCTAAAACATATTGTACTTACTACTATTAGGGA